TCGTGACTCCCAAGCTTCCTCCCTTTTTTCCAGTGTCCTTAATCTCATTCTCACCCCTAACCTTATCCTGTCCAGCTACTGGCCAGTCAGCTTCTTTATTACACAATCACAGCACCATATATTCACACAATGTAAAGAAATATTCCACATTTAATAATTAATAATAACTCTCTATGTTGTTATGTGTAAGATGGCAGACCAAAGGAAAGTCCAAATATACTGATTCACAATAATTACCCCTGCTCTGGCTCCTGTCCATCATAAGGTCAAGAATCTCTTCCACCAAGAATTCCTATAGCCATGATGGCTGATCAAAATGTGAGGTCAAGCAGTCATAGACTGAACCCTCTAAAACTGTTAATCAAATAAATATTTTTCTTCATTAAGTTGTTCTCTATAGTACTTTGGTCAGAGCAATGAAAAATAACCAATAATAAATGTGTAGGAAGTAAATCATTCTGATCCATTTCAGAATTAAGTGGGTTCAGAACCCATCAAAAAGTTATAGATAAGCAGGAGACACTAGGCCCTTCTCAGTTGGCAACTAGTGCCTGCTTGTTTTAGAACTCTGTGACTAGGAAAATTGAAGGCAGTCTGCTATAACTGAGCTCATAGGCAGTAAAGGGAAAATCTCAAGGCCCAGGATATTCATTAAACTTCACATCCTGAACCAACAGGATAGAAAATGTGGGAAGGAGGCTAATGTGAATGTGGAATAGAGGAATGTGAAGATTCTATTCTAACTTTCTGGATTACCAACCTATGGGGAAAGGGAAACAGGATTTTTTTTTTAATAGATAACTTAAAAAAATAACCCTGTAGTGTTTTGAATGAAAAATTCACCAGACTCATAGAAAGTGTCATTATTGGAGGTATGGCCTTGTTGGAGTAGGTGTGGATTTGTTGGAGCAAGTATGTCACAGAGGGTGGGCTTTCAGTTTTCAGAAGTTCAAGCCAGGCCCAGTGGTTCATTCTCTCTTCCTCCTGCCTGCCAGCCAATCCGGATGTAGAACTTTCTGCTTTTTTCCAGCACTATGTCTGCTTTCTTGCCACCACTCTCCCTGCAAGGATGACAATGGACTAAAACTGAACTGTAAGCCAGACCCATTTAAATGTTTCCTTATAAAAGAGTTGCCGTGGTCATGGTGTCTCTTCACAGCAATAGAAACCCTAAGACAAACCCTGTCTAGTATTAAATCAGCACACCATCAATTTTTGAAATAGCTTTTCTCTATGCTGGTATCTCTTTCTGCAGAATGGTACATTAAAAACTTTTTCTTTATTTAGTCTTAATGATTACCGAATGTGTGTCTTGATTCTCTCATTGCAGATAATTTTTAGACTTGTTTATGACTAAACTCTAAGCCTCAGAAACTTGTTTATAGGAGAGATTTGAAAAAGTTTGGAGACATTAACTTCACTTCAGAATGCTGTAAACTCAACCTTCTGGGCAATTCTAGAATAAGCTTAGAGGACACCAAAGGGATGCCTACTATGCAGACTAGGCTCCCACCTCCCACACACATGTCCACGACCTAAGACTCCTGGAAAGCTGAGAACAGACTCCAGGTCCTTGGCAACAGTAGCAATTGCTCTCAACCACTGAGCCTTCTCTCCAGAGCTTGTAGAAAGCTGAATTTTCAGGGAGACTGACTAAAGCAAAAGAGTTTGAAAAATTCTACAATTTGGTCAGAAAAGCCTGATTAAAGTTGGGGCTAAGGAACACATTGTTTTTGCATGGCTAGTTTCATGTTATTAGAAAGGAGCCAAATATTTTAATAATAGAAAAGTTGCTTTAAAGGGTACGTTAGGAATTGCTCATATTTTACCCATTGAAGATTTAATGAATATAACCATTTTAAAATTCCTTTGAAAGATAAGATCTTCCTTTGGAAAAAAGAGTACCTCCAGGTAACCTGTTTATAGCAAGATGAGCCACCTAGAGAAGAAGAATTGCCACACATTCATCAATCCAAGCCACTGTAGCCATGGGCAAAGGGGACTTCTCAGGCTGGTAACAGACCCTGACATTGACCAGGTGATTTTTACAAAGATATAGAATGCAAAAGTGGTGGAAAACTTCTAGTAAGATTTCAAAAGAAGGCCTGAAAAGTCAGTTAATATGTGGCAGAAGCATGTTTCATGCAGGCAACCCAAGCAAACAATACAAAAATCTGCAAGGGTAAAACCTAAGCTTCAGTGAAGACTAGGATATTGAAGACGCAAACAATGTTGAACAAGCCACAATTACTAAGGTAACCAGAAAGATAACATGTAGGTTACAAATGGCAAAGTCATAATAGGAGTGAAGCTACCCAAACCCACTGCAGCTCACCTGCTGACATCACACGCCCTAGAAGCTAGAAATGGAGCTATGGAACTCAATATTTGTACCCCTAGGTTTTGGTCTTACTTTAGCCTAACCCTTTGTTTCCTGTTCCTCCCATTGGAGTAGGAATGATTACTTTGCATTAAGTATGTGTTTTTACCTGACAGGAACTCATGGTAAAGATTTCACCTTCAGTATCACAAGACACTAAATTTAAGACTAGTGAATAGGGGCTGGAGGGATAGCTCAGTGGTTAAGAGCACTGACTGCTCTTCCAGAGGACCCGGGTTCAATTTCCAGCACCCACATGGCAGCTCACAACTGTCTGAAGATCCAGTTGCAGAGGATCTGACACCTTCACACCAATGCACATAAAATAGAGTTAAATAAACCATAAAAAATATTTAAAAAAAAAGACTAGTGAATAATGTGTGAACTGTTAAAACAATGAACAAATGTTAGTAATTATGAGGACATGAGTCTTTGGATATGAGATGTCTCCATCACATTTGTGGCTGAAATCCTGGTTCAAAGCATTCTTTAGGGAAGTTCTAAAAACTTTAAGTGTTGGAGCAGATTTTAAATCAGGTCACGTGGGGGTGTGCCTTTTAAGGTTATACCAGCTCAATATTTCTTACCTCTCTCTGGTCCTTATCTACCATAAGCAAAGAAGCTCCTCTACCACAGTTTCACATAGCCATGACACTGTCAAGATGCATGGAGTCAAGCAACCACGGACTGAACTTCCTGAAACTATGGATTAAAATAAATTCTCCCTCCTTTAAACTGTTTGTTAGGCACTGGGCCACAGCAATAAAACATAACTAATATATGTATGAAAGTAAGTCTACTTTAAAAGTAACAACATGAAAAAAATGTAGAGCATTAGTACTTAGTGTTTTGAGTATGGGCTAACCCTCTAATGCTGGTAGTAGAGTTCAATCCTCATCAAGGTACGATATGAAGAGCTATTGAGGACTAGGCTGAAGCAAAAATGGAGCCCAGAAGTTCCAGGACAGTTTCAACAACATAGCAAGACCCATCCATCTCTCATAAATAAATGTGGATGCTTAATTTATAAGAGCAAGAAAGGCTGGGCTGTGGTGGCACAGGCCTTTAATCCCAGCATTAGGGAGGCAGAGACAGGCAGATCTCTGTGAGTCTGAGGCTAATCTGGTCTACAGAGCAAGTTCTAGGACAAGCCCCAAAGCTACAGAGATACTCTGTCTCAAAAAAACAGAAACAAACAAAAGCAAAAAGAGAAAGACCACATATACACTGTCTCTTTTTTGTCACCAGCAAGAAAGGCATTAACAGATACAGCTCATTAGCCTTTCGCTATAACCATAAGCCAAAATAAACCCCTCTAGACATTACTTGTTCTGCATTACTATATTAGCAAAGAAAATAAACTAATATAGATGTCTACAAATTATGAAATAGTATAGACAAAATGGCATGTTTTAGTGCTTCAAATACAACAGAAGTAGCAATACAACAGAGTAGCTCTTCGAAAGTCAATAAGCCAACTGAATTTCTATGCACCAGTAAATAAATGACCATTTAAGTAGCATCAAAACCATAAAGTTAGCAGAAATAATTCAAACATTCATTATAAAATTCCAAAAAAACTGATAGAGATCTGAGTCCATGAATTTAAAAACATATATAAAATGATCTATAGAGGCAGTCCCCATTGAAATTTCAGTAAGGTCTTCTGTAGTTTTACATAAGCAAATTCTAACAGTTTTTTTATTACAACTTTTGTAGCAAACTATAAAGCTAAAAACCCTTGAAGAGATGTTATATTTGAGAAATGGGAAAAAGGAAGTTATCAAAAAATTCTGTAAAGCTACAGTATTCAAATGGCATGGGCACAGGGACAGACAAATGGAACAATGAAACAACAAAAATCTTGACAGCATACTTTGAGTGAGCAATCATCATCTCTTTTTCTTAAAAAAATAGAAATCTTTAAAATTCTAGCACATGTGCAGCAGAGTATATATGGGTTAAACAGCATTGTTAAAAACTGAAGCTGGAACACTGCCCAGACATCTAATAAATACATACAGTTGCATGTTGATAAAGTAGCCACAATAACATAAAGGAATAAAATGTAACTATATACATAAGAAACATCAATGACGAGGAAAAGGAGAACTTCATTATAGAGATTCAGCTACAGATAAAAACAGCATATTGTTTAGATATGTGTACATATAAGTAATAAAGAAGAAAAAAGAGAATTTGCACTAAAACGTTACTCTAAGTAATTCCCTTGGAAGATGGGAGAGGCAAGCAGTGCCCTTTTCAAAGTCCTGGCATCATTCTACTTCTTCACGTGGGTGGTATTACACAAATGTTAGTTTTATCATTCTCTGAACTGTACATATACCATTTACATATTTCCACTACAATATTTCTCTTCCTGGTAGTGCCGAGACTCAAACCCAAAGTCTCATATCTGTAAAAAAAATTAAAAATAAAATAAAAGCACTCACCAGCTGAGCTATCCCTAGCCCCATGGTCAATTTTCAAAGACTACTTCTGACACAATATGAACAGCTGCAATCTTTACTTAATGGAAATCAATGCTTACTAACTCATTGCATCTTACAGAGAATAAGCATTTTTATTGTCACAATCAACAAGTCTGAAGGTAACATACCTTATAGAGTCCAAAGCCAGGATCAATAAGACAAGTACGATCTGATGTAGATGGCTGGCTGGAAGATCCCCCTCTTGCTGTTTTCTTCACTTTAGGCTGATTATTAGAACGGGGTTTAGCCTGAACATCATTCTGCTTAGAAGTGCTAGGAAGACTGGAGTCTGGACGAACTAGCAGCTGAATTATATCATTCAGTCCAACGTCGTAGTCAAATAAAGTATATCCATTCTCCAACTAGAAAAACAGAAAACTACACTGAAGTGCTTATCTCAAAACTTACATTTCTACATATGTTTGTCCACATATCCTATATAAGCTATTAAAATTGACAACTCTACAACTTAATGATCTTGAAATGGTTTTTACTACTTTATGGCTTCTATTTTCAGCATCCTCTCTGGACCCCAGTAAATTGTTAAGAACCACTCCAAATTAACTACAGATCACACTTATGTCATTAAAATAAAAACTGTACATAGCTATTGCAATCTCATAGCTCACTGTGTGTGTAGCTCACACACACACAAACTCTCTAAACTACATTTAGCTTCTTATCACTTTTTGTTATTGTCTCTTAGTCTTTTGATAGTCTCTCTATACAGCCCAGGCTAGCCTCACTCGTGATCCTGTCTCAGCCTTCCAAGTGCTAGGATTACAAGTATATGATATGCAGGCTCTCTCAACAAAACTTATTTTAATCAACAGTGCCTAAATCCACTCCAAGTGTGGGAAAATAAATTTTGAAAGCGAGAACTTTATTCTTTTCTTTACACTCTGGATGTAATAGTGGTTATTAGCACTTTATCTTTTTGAAGTGCAATTAATACTTCCTTTAAGTGAAGACTATTTTAAAAAACTAATCAGAAGTATGTTGTAAGAAGGCCACTGTGTGTTCCGGGCTGCCCTCCGCTTGTTCATTTCCCTGCTGCCCAGATTCCCAAAATAACCACACAGAAACTGTATTAATAAAATCACTGCTTGGCCCATTAGCTCTGACTTCTTATTGGCTAATTCTTACATCTTAATTTAACCCATTTCTAGTAATCTGTGTATTGCCACGTGGCTGTGGCTTACCCGGGTAAAGTTCCATTCGGTTGGAGGGGAGGGGCTATATGGCTTCTCTCTGACTTGGCCTTTCTTTCTGCCAGCATTCAGTTTAGTTTTCCCCACCTAGCTCACCGTCTCAGGCTAAGCCAGTTTCTTTATTAACCAATGGTATTCACAGCATACAGAGGAGAATCCCACATCAAAAATATATTTCAATTATACTATATTCCATTTCTCTATGGTTCTCTAATTCTATCCATTTGCAAATATTAGCAAATTTTGTCACAAAGTCATCTAGGAAAAACAACACATAAATTATCTTGCAATTCACCCACATTTTCAGAAGGTTATGGACTTATCTGTGCCCACTGTCACCTCCACCACACCCCCACCTCCCAAAAGACACAATCAGATATACTAGAAGTTCTACTCCACAGTACCTCAGAGGGCTGAGAGTCCCTCCCTACATGACATTTCCAGCATCAAGGGAGTGGCTTACCTCAGAACCTAATTTTATTTAGAAATGGGGTCTTTAGATATAATCCAAGACAGCACATGACTAAAGAAATTCAAAGTCTATTATTATGGAGTGACTTGGGTCTTCTAAACACTTACATGCTAAAGCCCTAACCTCTAATGCCTCAAAATTTGACCTAGGTTGGAGATAGGGTCTTTAAACAGGTAATAAATATAAAATGGGATCATTAAGAGGACCTCTAATCCAGTCTAATTGGTGTCCTTGCTAAAAACAAATATGGAGAGACACAGAAAGGGCAGGACAATGGAGGGGAGAGTGCGAGGAGAGGGAGGAGACAGGCAAGAAAATCATGTAAATGGAGTGGTTGCCATGTAAATTGAGTGGTAACAACTTCAAGATAATAAACACTATTTCCTCAAAACAGAAGCCTGAAGACAGTTCTCCATACCATTCTGGTATTCTGTTACAGCAGTCTAGGAAACCAACTGTGGTAGTTTGAATGTATTTGGCCCCCATAATCTCATACATAATGGCACTATCAGGTGTGGCTTTGTTGGACCCTTGTTGGAGGAAGTGTGTCAATGTGGGGGAGGGCTTTGAGGTTTCTTATGCTCAGGATACTGTCCAGTAAGTCGGTTGATTCCTTGTTGCCTACAAGGTGTAGCAGTCTTAGCTCCAGCACCACCTCTGCCTGCATGCTGCCATTCTCCCTGCCATGACAAAAATTGACTGAACTTCTAAAACTATAATCAGGTCCCCTCAATTCAATGTTTTCTTTATAAGAGTAGCAATGGTCATGGTGTCTTTTCAAAACAATAGTAAAACAAACTAAGACACCAATTTTCTATTTTCTTTCTTTAAAGGGTATATTAGCAGTTGACTGTTAAAATTAAACTTCTTAAAGATCAAAACTATAATTTCTTTCAGAAATATCAATTCAAGCATTAATCATCCTTTCATGCAATATCCATACCATTCACAACTGTGCAATACAGTAACAGGATATTTAAGAATTCAACTACATTCCTGTCCTCCATCATGTTGCAAGGTCAAGATGAAAAGGAGAATCCTATGTGGGAACTTTGCATCTGCAAACTCTGCCTCAATATCTGTGTAGGGGAGAGCGGAGACAGATTGACCCAGGCAGCCAAGGTGTTGGAGCAGCTCACAGGCCAGAAACCTGTCTTTTCCAAAGCTAGGTACACCATCAGGTACTTCAGCATCAGAAGAAATAAAAAGAATGCTGTTCACTGAACTGTCCGTGGAGCCAAGGCAGAAGAAATTGTGGAGAAAGACCTGAAGGTGCGGAGTATGAGTTATGGAAAAATAACTTCTCAGATACTGGGAACTTCAGCTTTGAGATTCAAGAACACATTGACCTGGGCATCAAATATGACCCAAGCATTGGGATCTACGGCCTGGACTTCTGTGTGGTACTGGGCAAGCCAGGTTTCAGCATTGCAGACAAGAAGCGCAGGGCAGGCTGTATTGGGGCCAAACAGAGAATCAGCAAAGAGGAAGCCATGTGCTGGTTCTAGCAGAAGTATGAAGGATCATTCTTCCTGGCAAATAAATTTTATCCAAAAGGCCAATTTTTTTTTTCAGAAAAAAAAAAAGATTTCAACTACAGAGAAAGGGGAGGGGGAAACATCTGTCCTTTAATTATTACTTCACTAATGTGAGATTTATTTAGGTGGCAGACCTAAGACCATAGCTAGCACAATTTTACAGGTTACAAGTATTCTTACTTGTCAAATAGTACAAGGAATCAAGAATTTCACAACCTTCCCAGTAGAGAAATCAAGGAATTAAACTAGGTACTATCTCACAGCTCAGCTAATCTAAGGAACTCAAAGTAGCTCACAGGCAGTACTCATCCTGGGTTCATTCCGCATCACACACACACACACACACAACTCAGTACCCAAAGCCAGTAACTAAGTAAGCCTTCATATGAATAGGAATGTTAATATATTTAAAACATAAACACCAAGCCAGCCACAAACCCTTTATTTACAAAGATGTAATGCCTGCAAGATATACCAGGGCAATAGTGGCAAAAAGCTTGTGAGAGTAACCAACCAGTTTCTGATTTGACTTAAGGTCCTTTCCATGAGATAGAACCCACACCCAGCACTGCTTGAGTGAGCAAGAAGCTGAGACTAGATAGCCCAGGGACCTACGGTAAAACCAAATATGGGCATTAAAAAAAAAAATCAAGTGGTGTGGCAATAAAACGGCTAATGATATTCTGCTATGTATGTAGATCAGAGTCTTGTTCAGCTATTAGTGAAGCTTCCACTGGCAGTGGATGGGAACCCACAGCCAGACATTATGAAGAGTGAGAGATCTTGGAATACTCAGCACTAAATTGGATATCTCTATCAAACTAGAGCTCAGTGGGGGATAGAGGACACCAAGAAAACAAGGCCCTCTAAATTAACATGATCATAGCTCTTATGAACACATAGAGACTGGAGCAGCATGTACATGGCCTGCACCAAGTCCTCTGAGTATATATTATGGCTTCCAATTTAGTGGGTTGGTTATTGGTATTTCTGGGTGTACAAACGAGCAGACCTCTGACTCTTGTGCCTAATCTTTTCCTTCTGTTGGTCTGTGTCATCTGACTTTGATGGGATAGTTTTCGTTTTATCATATTCTATTTTTTAAATATTTTCAAGAATGAATAAAAAACTAGCTATTACGACAAAAGTTAACAATTAAACTGGAAGACTTATACCTACTGGGAAAGGGAAAAATCAGTTTTCTCCAAATCACTCTAGCCAGGTCTCATGTTCAGAAGTATCTGACCAACATATAATGGACTCCACAGGTTTTTTTTTTTTTTTTGGTGTGCTTTTACTGGTTATAGCTTGGTATTTCTTTTTTCTTTCTGGATGTAGTTTTATTTGTTTCCTTGGTCTTGGTGAGTTTTTTTGTTGTACTAAGTTTTTGTTTTAAGGCTCAGTGGGTAAGAAGGGGGACAGGATCTGAAAGGACTTGGAGGAGGGGAAGAACTTTATCAAAATATATTAAAAATTTTTAACTTGTTTTAAATAAAGGGAAGCTTTGAGATGGATTAGAGTAAAGGTTTGGCTGCCAAGCCTGAGGGCCTAAGTCTGATCCCCAGGATCCACATGGTGAACTGACTCCTTCAAAGAGTTCTCTGTTATCCCCTTGTGTTACAACAGATGCACACAAATAAATTAATGTAAAAATAACTAAAACAACAGTAAGAAGGTACTCTTCTAGTTTCCCTAGGAAGGAGGGGAATCACTCAAACAAAATGTGGCCTTTTCCTCTTCCTGGAGCAGTACTTAGAGGCAGGCACTCGGAGAGCTCTAGCCTTTGACACATGTCACAGGCTTTCCTACAATACAGTCTCTAACAAAACTAGGCTGTCTCGCATCCCTGCTAACAAAACTGTTTACCTTTGCATCTTTTATTTTTACACCAAAAATGTTGGGAAAGCACCTAGATCCACATGTGGTATGTGCCTAGGCAGACATCAGGGGCTCGTGCTGTGAGACTGAAAGTCCTTATGAGAGTGTCTAAGACAAAGAAGCATGTCAGCAGGGCCTACAGTGGTTCCATGTATGCCAGGTGTGTTCGTGACAGGATCAAGCAGGCTTTCCTTATGAGAAGCAGAAAATTGTTGTGAAAGTGTTCAAGGCACAAGTACAGTCAGAAGCGAAATAAATATGCAGCTTTTTTTTTTTAAAAAAAATAAGACTCAAGGCTTGGTTAAAAAAAAAAAAGATGGTATTTATACCTTCATTTTGACATTCTTCAATAGCCAAAATTAAAACACTCTAACTCTGAAACAGGTGAAAATGTACAATTTGTCTAGACAATGTAATAAACATTATGAAAATTACTTCAAAATTTTAAAAGTAGAAAATCCAAACTCTAAAATAGTATAAACCATCCAAATGCCCTAGTAATCCATTCCAAAAAATAAAGACAGGCGAGACATTAAAGAAGTAAAATTAAGATAAATCTTGTGGCACATACATATTTATAATCCTTCCACTCTGTAGGGTGAGGCAGGATTCCATGTTTAAGGCCAGCTTGGGCTCCACAGCTTAATTATAAATTGAAGATGTTTCCATTACATTTTTTATTGGTATCTGACAAGCGTCAGAGACCTTAGGAGTGAATACTCTACAAATTTTAATTATTTTCTATTAAATAACTGCCAAGAATGACTTAAACTGCTTTCAGTGGTGCCTTCTAAGCGTGGTGTAGCAGGAAAGTAACATCTAAAGTTAGTAACATCAAGACAAGAAACCCTAAGTCATCTTTCTTCATAATAGCTCTCTCTTTCACACACACACACTCACGCTACACACTCATTCCTATTTCATAGACAATATTCCAGTCTTTTTAAAAAAAGTTACTATTTTTCACTGCATAGGCCATTTTATTCAGTAACGCCTCACAGTCTGTTAAGAGTTATTAAGAATGTTGGAGTAATTTGCCTAGACTACTTAAGTTCCTTCATATTTAATGTTAAGTGCAGACACAAAGTTATCTGTGACTCAAATTATGATCTGGAAGAGGGAGAAAGGGATGAGGTCATCTAGAACCCAGCTTCTTAAACTGTTGGTTATTGAGTCCATACTGAGGTCCCATAACTGAATATCAGGGAAAGGGAATTATCACATACACAATAACCTGACAATAGTAATGTTTTCAGAAGTGCAATGCCCAAAAACTAATTCAAAATAAAAAAAAAGTATGTCTAAAAATGAGGTGTTTCTGGCAGAAGTCCATGCTGCATCACAGTGACTCCACCGCAGCCTTAGTTTTGAAAACACAATGTGCACTTTGTACTATGCATGCTATAGTAACATACATCGCCAATACACTGCCTGAAACACTCACTCAGATTCAAAGCTAGGGAGGTCATGAACTGCACTGTTTACCTACAAGGTTTTCTGCTTCTGTAGAAACATAATGGCTTAAATGTAGGAAAGTGACTTTCAGTCTTTTCCTGCCATCATTCCTCAGCAAGTAAATATCAAATTAGTCTTTATGCTGTTATTATGCTTAAATGTCTGATTTTAAAAACTGTTATCTGAATTATTGAACTAATTTATTTTAATGTGTTGAATGAATACAATTAAGACATTTTCTAGAAGCACCCTAAACATACTTTTGTTGTACCATGTTTATGCAAAACATTCTCATCATTAACTATGAAATCAAAATTAACGATCAACTCTGAAAAAGGTTAGATGTTCTGTCCTGAAGTATCAAATATTCAACCCAGTTTTAATTCTCTATAAAATAAGCATGTCTATCTAGTAAAATGCAAATTTGCTTTTCTTTTAACACAACTGATAAGATTATGTGAATACCAAATAATTTCAAAATGAACTGTGATTTAGCAGATTTGATTGGCATACCTATTTTCAATACTTACATACCCAGAGTTACATAAAAATTTCTTGGGCCGAAAGTAATTCCAAGTAGAAAAAGTTTTACAAGTCCTGATCTAGAAATTACAAATACTTATAGATTTAAAGTATATAACTGTAGTCCATCAATGTCTTATACAGAACTGCCTTTTTAAAAACTCAAGGTACAAGACTCTGAAGAAAATGGTTGGGACTCTGCCAGAATGTACTACTGAATTTTTACTGTGTTAAAAGAAGAAATTCCAGGAAATAGGAAGGGCTACAATAACAATGCAAGGGAAACCAAGGAAGATGGGAGATGAGCTGGCAGAGGCAAAAAAAAAACAAAAAAAAAGGCAACAGGGAAGTCATTTCTACAGTACTAAGGGTACAAGTGGAGGGCAACTGTTATTCATCAGTCATGGACTGGAGATAAATACACATACACTGTATTTAAACAAATACTTTCATTTCTTTACTCCATGTGAAAAAAAAAAAAAAGAATATGGAGGCTGGTGTCAACTGTTTAGTTTTTCTTCCAGTATGGTTCACAATCCATATCTACAATCTATTCAAGGCTATCCCAACAGTGACGTCAAGAGAAGGCAGGGATATGGAATCTTTTAGAAGTCACAAGAGCTCTAGATTCTAATTAAAGATCAAAGTTTGGTGTGTGGTGTTTATGAGTAAGATTTACTCAGAAAGAGCACTGGCTGCTCTTCCAGAGGACCAGGGTTGATTCCCAGCACCCACAAAGTGGCTCACAACTTTCTCTAATATCAATTCCAGATCTGCAGATCTGATGCCCCAATGTCCTCTTCCGGCCTCTGCAGCAAACCAGGCATGCATACGGTGCAAAAGACATATGTTTATGCAAAGCACCTACACACATTAAAAAGAAAAAAACGTGGAGTTCCCAACACTGCTTTCCAAACTTTGTGTACAGAGCTCCTGGAGACCTTGTAAACCACATACTCTGCTTCAGTGGGCCATGGTAAGGCATCCACGCAAAGATAATGCTGTTGGCCCTGAGAAAGCAGAAAGCACACTTCAAATAGAAAGAAACTAGTACAAGGTTATCCCTTTAAAGTTCACTTCAAAGTCTGGTGTTCACAAAAATTTCCTCTGAAGTCAGGAGATGGTACTCCGGGCAGAGGCAGGTGGATCTCTGGGATCTCTGAGTTCAAGACCAGCCTGATCTACAAAGTGAGTTCCACAACAGCCAAGGGTATAAAGAAAAACCCTCACTTGGGGGGGGGGGGGTCCTGTGAAACATAGTTAAATTCAACTACACTACTCCAAAGATTAAAAGCAGCATAAATAACAGGTTGGGGCACACTAAAATGAATATGTGGCAATTTTTTTTCAGACCAGAATCTCACTGTGTTACCCCGTCTCTTAAACTCCTAGGCTCATCACCAGTGATCCTCTTGTCAGTCTTAGAGGAGCTAGGAATATGGTTCCCGGCTAAAATAAATCTGTTTCATTTATACCATTACTTGGCAGTAAAACACCTTGAGACAGGACACCTCTTTTCTACTAAACTCATTTTACAGGAAATGAATAGCCCTGTGGTACCAATTATCTGCCTGCTACAAGCACACTTTGCTATCCCCATCAACCGGAGAATATCAAAGACAAAAGGAGATAATAACCACTGCCCTGGCTAGTTGTCATTCATGAAAAAGTAAATAACTGCGAGCGATATTTTCCTTTTTTCGTGTCCAAGTCGATGACTGGCACCTAAATTCTATTTTCATTCTTACTGGTTCATTATTCAGCTGGGGAGAGGGAAGTAGTGAGTGATTAAGAGTGTGTTTGGGGGGCGGGTGCACAAGGGTTATCTATCCTCAACCAGGAAGCATTTTCTTATTAGTGATTTTAGTGAAAGTCTATTTTGTAAGTCCTGGATTTAAACCAAAGTCTACCTTTACATTAAGACATCTAGATGACCTTACTTTAGCATTATTTCAACATTACATTTTGCCCACCACTATATTCTCATCCTTCATTTCTATCTAGTGAAGTCACTGAAGTATCCTGGGAATCAATGTACAGTATATTATTACTACTTAGAAAATTCAGATGTGACTACTTAGCTTTCACGGGTAACCAAAAGGAAAAGTTACTAGCCACTGGAGGCACATTAACACAAAGCTACATAATATTTAATACAGATACAATTTTTTTTAAGCTTTCTAGTAAAGTGAACTCTTTACTAGTTCAACACAATGAATCAACACAGAACTGGCTACAAGAGGAGCAGAAAATGCTACAGGTTTTCCACAGGAGAGGAACACCAAAACAAAATCCTGACTCCTTTCCCATTGTATAATCTGTTACTTTGAATTTCTTGTTCCGTCTGAGACATTGTAAACCAGTAAAGGAAACAAAAATATTCCTTCCAAAGGCTTTGTGGCCTCTAGGCTACTTCCACCGAATCAGAGAACTGCATTTAATTCAAACCTCAGGACTGGAGCCAAACTGTGGTCTACCGTCTGCAAGATGCCAACTTTTCAGTGGACTAAAGACAACACAAAGACAAAGGCAAGAAAAACAAGATGGGTCCAGGATCTAATCACAGACTGAGACTGATCGGATAGGAAATGTCTTACGCTGACCAGGCTGGGCGACACTTAAATTTAACGGAGATGCCCCTTGTGGCCCAAATCTACTTCCTGTCTTGAGTTACTGCTAGTTATGATGAAGGGCTAGCTTTAAAAGCCTGAACGTGGGGAACATTCAAATGTGAGAGGTAAAGCTGTCCCTACACTCAACAGATTTAAACCCGACTTCCGGCTACAAACATCGTTCCCAAAGCCCAGGTCTGAGACCGGCAATGCATTCCGTGACCCCTTCGCCATCTCCAGTGCGCTCCAATCCTTCCAGTGAGACAACAGGGGGAAGGTGCCTGACTTTTCATCCCGCGTCTGGGAGCCCGGGGCAGGGGAGCGAAGCAAGCCAGCGATGCCCATAACGCAAGCTCGTCCCTCCTGCGGCCGGGCACAGGGGCGCCACCCAGCCGCTGCCCTTCCCGGCTCCGATCACCCCCTCCCCCAAGCGCGGGAAGAGAGGCACCCAGGAACCTCGCACACTACGCCTGTGGCTGCTGTCCCCCTTCCTAGGACAGCAAGGTTCCCAGGACCCTGCACCCCGGCCTTCCCGCCCGCTGGGCGCACAGCCGCGGGCCCGGGCCCCGCATCCTGCATCCCGCGCCCCGCCAGCGGCCCGGCCCGACCCCCAGCCTCGCCCCCGGGGCGCCTCACCTGCTTGCCCCGGTAGAACAGGCGCTGGCACTCGGGCCGCACGTCGAACAGCGCCCACACCCGCTCGCGCAGCTCCTCGATGGTGGCTTTGCGGGAAACGTCCTCGATGGTGCGCGTCTGGGAGCCGTCGATGGTGCGGACCTGGATCCACATCGCGGCGCGGGGGACAGGGGTCCCGGCCCCCTTTGTCTACCCTGCGCTCGGGCCGCCGCGCCCCGCCCGGCCCGGCTCCCGCCGCTTCCCCCGGAAGGCTCCGGTTCTCCGCGCGCGCGGCGCCTGGGCGAACGCAAGGGCGGGCGAGGACGGACGCGGCCAACCACGCGACCGCCCACCCGGCCGAGGGGGCGGGGGAGGAAGCCGGAACCCGCCCGGACCGCGCGCAGCCTCCGCCTCACAGAGAGGAAGGGGCCTTGTCTCGGCCGCGCCGAGTGTTTACTTATAGAGCTCGAGCTCCCCACATGGAGGTCACGGCGCCAACCCGGATCTCGCGAGATCCACGCGGGGCTCCGCCTCACGCACAGCCCCAGGGCGCTAACATGGAAAGGGGCGGGGCTCCCGGAGCCGTTACTCGGGGGGGGGGGGGGGGGGCGGGGGAGTGCAGGGCCCGGCTCGCCCTAGGCCTTCCGCCCTCGCGTGTTCCCTCCCCGGGCTGGTGGAGCCCGATCCACGCTGGTCTCGCTCTCCTGAGGCCGAGGCTATGGTGTCAAAAACACACACGAAATAAGTACCCGTGATGCGCACTTGCATGGCCGAGAAATGGGGGCGCAGCCATCAAACAAGGATGTGGGAGCCCGCCACCGGGGCAGCGCCCGCCACGCGGCCTGGCGGGGCCTACGAAAGGCCCCGGGCTGCGTGGACCTCGTGGGCACGCTTCCTGCGCAGCCTCCCCGCGGAAACCCGCTTCTGGGATGCTCCAGGAGGGGAGGCCGGTTCCACGCGGCCCCACACAGGCTCAGGCTGCTGGCTTTGCGCGAGGCCGCGGAGCCCCCACTCCCACTTCCCGCCAGGGGAGCCGGGACTGGACGTGGACGAGTCGGCCTCCTGCGCGAAGGGCGTCTTCGGCCGCAGGGATCCTGGATTTGCGGGACTGGACACCTCAGAGCGGAGGGAATACGGCCCTCCACACCGGGCCCGTCGCAAAAGCAAAGCAGACATGTATCTTACGTTCACCGATACCGGGAACGTGGGGATTCAGGCCAACAAGAACTATTCTCGTGAAGCTAAGAGGCGCCACTTTGCAACAACCGAATTAATTACATTCAAAATGGCCTTGCGGGGAAAGGCAGGGAACGTAGAATGCACTTCATGTCTCTGTCCGCTTGCTGGTGGGGAAGAAAAAGCATCCACCTAGAACCTCTAAACTGAGTCACCTTCTCTGCTCCCTAATTAACTGAAACATTCAGTAGAGGAAGCGATAGACACACCTGAGCGCATCTGATCTGCCCTAAGAAGGGATCAGCTGTTTGGTGTTAAAAGGCTTTGCAAGCGTCTCGGACCATTGAAGTACGCGTGGTGCACTGCCCGAGTTTAATGGCGTGCGTGAAGCCCGCGCTAAGTGTTCGCCTCGTGGGTGGAGTGAGAAACACAAGAATTGTAATGTTTTTCTGCTTAAAATGTGATATTGAAGCAGATGTTTGGATTTCCTCCGCGGCAGGTAGAGCGTGTCAACACCTAGAGAATGTTAGCTTCCTGCTAATCCCTTAGGAGTACGCAAGAAGGTACTTTAGAGCTTTTGTTATCAAGGGACTTTAGATAAACTGGGAATATGCAAAGAAGTGTGCTTAACCAACGATTGGAAATATGCATTCATTTCACATCAGAAGAGACTGCGTCAGAGAAAGGTTGACATTAGCATTCCAAAGCAGGCTTTCGTCGGCCTGGGGCAGAGGTGGGGGGGGGGGGCTTGACCCTTTTCAAGGCCTGCTTACCAATGGAGAATGACAATAGAAAGTGCCTTAGGGAAAAAGGAAACTGTGGGAAGGTAAGGGAGGTTGGAATTTAGCCGAAAGGCAGCGGCTATCCACGGTGGAAATATTAGAATGAGAATGTATTCTTGAGTGTTCTAGGAAACGAAACGGAGATTGTAGAAGTTGTGGGTGGGAACCGCGAGGGCTATGGGTGTGACGGTAATTCTCAGGGACGCCTTAAATGGATTGGTTGGGTAAATGTTGTTCTTCACTAGAACGGGAAGCAAGTTGGGGGAATGCCTTGAGTTCCATTTGAATTGTGCTACAATTGAAATAGATCCCAAATGCACCTAAGACGTAGACGTTTGATGGTTGGAAATAACTGTCCAAGAGAGTGAAGGGAAGAAGGGAGGTTCCGGGAAAAAGAACTGGTCTTTTGGTTGTTGTAGTGGTGTTTGATGGAGACACATTTTGGCAAATAGAGAAAGAGGTGGTATTGATACGCAAAAAAGAGGATATTCTGGTCGGTGAATGTTATTAAAATTTGGGGAGTGACCGAGGCAGGGGTGAGAGTATATGTAAAAAAATTATGTTGAACATTTACTGTTTGTTGATTTTTGTTGTTGTTGTTGTTGTTTTGTTTTTCGAGGCAGGGTTTCTCTGTGGCTTTGGAGCCTGTCCTGGAACTAGCTCTGTAGACCAGGCTGGTCTCGAACTCACAGAGATCCGCCTGCCTCTGCCTCCCGAGTGCTGGGATTAAAGGCGTGGGCCACCACCGCCCAGCTTGCATTCTTGTTTGTTTGTTTGTTTTTGTCTAAAGTCTCATTCTATAGCCCCAGATAACCTGGAACTCACTTAGTTCCTCCAAAAACTATTCTTGTTTTGTTCTTTGAAGCAGGGTTTCTCTGTACCTTTGGAGCCTGTACTGCTCAGTGCCCCATTTTATAATTGGGTTGATTAGCCTTTTATGGTCTAGTTTCTTGAGCTCTTTATATATTTTGGAGATCAGACCTTTGTCAGTTGCGGGGTTGGTGAAGATCTTCTACCAGTCAGTGGGTTGCCTGTCTGGAACTCTCTGTGTAGACCAGGCTGGCCTCAAACTCACAGAGATCCACCTGTCTCTGCCTCCCAAGTGCTGGAATTAAGAGCATATGCCCCTCCTCTGCCACCACACACATTTCCTTTGAAGCAGGAAGTCCAACCAGACCAGTGCTAGAAAAGAAGATGTAACGAGCATGGAAACGGATTCCTCTGAATGAATAAATAAAGGGGAATCTGTAGTGTAGATAGAGCAGGAAATTTATAGAATAAGAATGAATGTAACTTGGTGTAATGTAAAAGCATTTCTTCTTGTGTGGGGTATGGAAAATTACTAAGGTGAAATATTGGGAGAGCATTTGCCCGTTTGAAGGCTGCCACACCCATCTGGCCCTGCCAGATGTGGGGGGCTGCACCCAGCAACCGTGGTAACGAAATAATCTTGCCACACAAGAGGTTCCCCCACCCTTCTGTGGCCAGTCGATACTGATAACCTAGGACACCTGGTTATCGGAAGGATCAAACGAGGGGCAATTTTGAACTGGCATAAAAGAGGTGGCTGAAGCAGGGCAGTTATCTCACTTCTCACAATGGCTCTGGCACCAGGCCTCCGTGGAAAGAGAGATCCTCCTAGCCTGCCTCCCGAAAAGCAGCAATACTGAATGCCTTGCCTAAACATTTAATGCTCTGTCTCCCGAGCACAGAGTTTTGTCTCCCGAAAACAGACATTTAACACCTTGCATCCCGAATGCAAATCCTCATTCCATGAGAGTGGACATTGAAGGTCTGTCTCCCGAGAACAGACTAGATACTCTGCCTTTCAGAATGCTTTGCCATCCCGAAAGCAAAGCTTTGTTTTCTGAGCAGACAGAACGCTTTGCCATCCCGAGAGCAAAGCTTCATCTTCGAGAGTGGAGAACTAAAAGCCTTGTCTCCCGAGACTCGGTCGCCCAAAAGCCGAGTCCAAGGCACTACCAGATACCAGCCTGGAACATCAGGACCTTATCTCCCGAGTGCAGACTACAGGGTCAAGAGTCAATCTTCGCTACCCAGCCCCCAGTGCGGACAAGAGCCCAGCCTGAAAAAATTCAAAAAAGCCCTTTTTAAGTCAGGGAATATCAGGTCGTATGATGCTATTTCATGTGTGTATAAGATGTTAAGAGAAGAGCATAGATGTGTTAATACATATGTTAATGTGTGAAATGTTAAGAGATATTTTATGGATAATTGATCAGAGTAGGAAATAATGGATAAGCTAAGGTTAAGGAGTGTTTTATAGATAATTAATGGATAAGTTGTATTAAGGTTATAGATAATTAATGGATAACTTGTATTAAGGTTATAGATAAGTAACGGCTGAGTTGTATTAAGGTTAAGATAAGTTAGATTAAGGTTATGAATTGGTTTTATGTATTAGGTTTAGTAGGATTAATAATTGTGATATTGAATTGCCTGTGTGTTGCCCATTATCAATCCCCCATGCCTACTGAGATTGTAACCCCCATTGATGCATTGGATATTGAAGTTGCTAGTAAAGAATCATCATAAAATCAATTCTCTTGCTTGGTCTGGTTACTCATCACTCTCTGGGGAGAAGGGCACAGAGTCCTCATAGATATTACTCGAAAAGAACCTGGAGCTGAAGTCCCCCAGCTCGTAACAGATAATGATACTGAGGAAGTGTGATTTCTCATTTCTGGGCCAGACGCAGTCTGGACACAGAGATCTAAGATCTCTTAAACTTAATACAGCCTAGTTTTCACACAGTCAGCTCAACCCAGGGTCATCATGAGCTGATCATCCACATCTAAATGATTTTTTTTATCTTTTTAAAATTTTATGTCTTCATTTACCCTACTAAAATATAATTTTAATATTTCCATTTTTAATGAGTTAATAGCAAAGTGTTGGTTATATGAGACTTCATGGTAATCACATCTTTGTAAAATTCTTTCTTTTTCATAGTCAGGATGGCTCTGTATCCCTGGCTGTCCTGGAACTCACTTTGTAGAAAGGCTGCCCCTAAACTCAAAAGATCTGCCTGCCTCTGCCTCCCAAGTGCTGGGATCAACGGTGTGCACCACCACTGCCTGGCCCACACCCAAATTCTTTTTTTTAATATTTTATTATTATATTTTATTTTTCAAAAACTTAGTTTTTAAAATTTATGTATATGAATGTTTTGCCTTCCTGTATGCATGTACACCAAATGAGTGCCTGGTGCCCTCAGAGATCACAAGAAATTATCAGCTCTTTTGGAACTGGAGTTATGTAGCGCGCGGAGATGTAGCGCGCACCATGGCGCTGTCATGTCAGGGGCACGGAGCCTGGGCGCCATTTGCTGTTCCATGTCAAACTTGACAGCTTGGGCGCAACTTGACAGACAACTTGTGCGCATGCGCGCACACAGAGCATGCGCGCACGAGCCCCCCCCCCCAACGCGGGGAGTCTTTCGATCTGGCCATCTGATCTGGCCAATCATAATTTAAGCACGATCACTCCATTCTGGCCTGAGCCATTGGG